GCTAATAATAATGATAATGATACTAATGATGAAAATAATAATGATGATAATAATAACAATAACAATGATAAAAATAATAATAATAATAACAATAATAACAATAATAATAAGGATAACAATTATTTTAATGATGATAGTATTAATAATATTCATAATAATGATACTGAACATAATAATAATATTAATGATAAGGATGACGATGATTATGATGATAGTTATGATAATAACAATGATAATAATAATAATAATAATAATAATAATAATAATAATAATAATAATAATAACAATAATAACAACAACAACAATAATAATGATAATAATCGCAATAGTAATAACAATCATCATCATCATAATATTGATAATTTCCATATGTCCATCTAGTAATACATCATAATCATCTATCATTATTGATAATAATAACAACAACAATAATAATAATAATAATAATAATAATAATAATAATAATATCAATAAAAATAATAATGATGATAATAATAATAATAATAACAATAATAATAATAAGAAGAAGAAGAAAAAAAGAAGAATGATGATAATAATAATAATAATAATAATATTAATAAGGATAAATAAATAATAGTAATAATGATAATAATAATGATAATGATAATATTGATAATAACAATTAGACTACTAATAGTAATAATAATGATAACAACAAAAATGATAATTAATAGTAATAATAATGATAATAATGATAATGATAATAATAATAATAATAGAAATAATAATAATAATAATAACAGCATCGACAATGATAATATTACTACTACTACTAATAATAATAACAATAATAGTAATAACAATAGTAATAATAATAATAATAATAATAATAATAATAATAATAATAATAATGATAATGATAATAATAATAATAAAAATAATGATAATAATAATAATAATAACAATAATAATAATAATGATAATAATAATGATAATGATAATAATAAAGATAATAATGATAATAATAATGATAATAATAATGATAATAGTAATATGACAGTAATAATGATAACTATGATAATTATAATTATTCTTATGAAAATTAGTCTATTAGAATTAGTCTATCAATAAGAAAGATGTCGTAGGTAGGAGTTGTTAGTCATTTGGGATTTTACCTCAATATCCCCGATTTCTATTAAGGTTTCATAAATCAAAAGTGTTTCGTGTTTTTTTTTACATGTTATTAGTCCGAACTTGCAGGTATATTTGAACCGTTTTTTTCCTACGAACAATTTCCCTTCAGTAATATTCTAAGTACTTACGGAGCAACTTCTTCGTATACACGTTCTTAGTGTATACGTGAAGCCGAATATTTTTGTCATTATTATTATCATTGTCATCATCATTATTATTATTATTATTATTATTATTATTATTATTATTATTATTATTATTATTATTATTATTATTATTATCATTATTATTATTATTATTATTATCATTATTATTATCATCATCATCATTATTACCATTATTATTATCATTATTATTATTATCTTGGCAAGGTTAAAGTTTAGCAAATTGGATGCTATTTGAAATACTCTATTTATAACCAATTCGAAGGGTAGGACGAAACTAGGTACTATTTTCATGTTCACCTTTGATGTATTTTGTAAGCAAGACAGCAGCCGACGTTGGAATATCTTGGCCTCTGGAAATCCCCACAAAGTTTTCAGGAAATGTGTATCTTGTGTTCTACATTTGACTATTTTACCCGCGTACGTTTTCTTTAGATAATTAGAGAATGTGTCAACTGTAATTAGGAAATTTGTTAACTGAAGGATAATAGCTGAAGTTAGTAGCATAACTACTGTTGTCAAGGGAGGTAGCTGATGTAGCCTGTCAGTTTCAGCCATCTCTTACAGAAATCCCGGGCTAGCTTGAAGGCCATCCGGAGCAGGGCCGGACGCTGAATCATTCTCGGCCAGAGTCACAGGGCGCGTCCGACGTCGATCGTAAGCGAGCGCCACCGTCTCGTAGCCTCTCTTTGCACGAGACTGTTGATGGGAGACTTTACGAGAATAAAGCCCAAGCATCTCAGACAACGTGGACGAAGTGAAACCTTTACGTGGACCGAATTCTCACTGCCTCACTTGTCTTCCCTGACCTTAATACACGGGAGGGTGGGCGTAGGACGAGAGATAAAAGCACGGGCGTTGATGAAAGTCTCAGCTGCCGGCCTTGGGGATCGGAACCGGGAATCGAGAATGCGTCGGACGTAACGTAGGCGGGGGCGAGAAGGGGGGAAGGAAAGAGGTCGTGTAGGGGCGGCGGTCGGGAAGGCGAGGCTGGGCTCTCGGTCGCGGCCCTTTTATGGCGACTCTCCCGGACTCTATTGGCACCCTCTTCCTCTCACTTTCTCTCTCTCTCTCTCTCTCTCTCTCTCTCTCTCTCTCTCTCTCTCTCTCTCTCTCTCTCTCTCTCTCTCTCTCTCTCTCTCTCTCTCTTTCTCTCCCTCTCTCTTAGGTAACTACTTTGCATGAGCCATGAACACCAATAGTTGCAAGGAGCGCTCCAGTGACTATTGCAACACACTAAGAACCAACTAGATTCACCACAACCTAGTGGAGACTAGGCTCGAGGACCTATGACCCCAGTGACCCCGATAATGACCATGATAATGATAGTAATGATAATCCCAACAACACTGATTATAATAAAAATAATGATGATGATAACAATGCTAAGAAGGATTGTAAACAATGGTAATAATAATAATGACAGTAATAATAATAATAATGATGATAATGATAATAATAATAATAATAATAATAATAATGATGATGATAATAATAGTAATAATAATAATAATAATAATGATAATAATAATGATAATAATAATAATAGTAATAATAATAATAATAATAGTAATAATGATAATAATAGTATTGATAATAATAATAGTATTAATAATAATAATAATAATAATAACAATAATAATGATATTAATAATAATAATAATAATAATAATAACAATAATAATAATAATAACATAAATATTAAGTATAACAATAGTAACGATAACAATAACAATAAAAACAAGTATTTAGTTATGAGAAGAGTCCGCTTCTAAAGGCTGGGAGAGACTGGGCCATAAATTCTGTTCTCTCTGTGTCATTACAACCACCGTATCGTTAGTAAGGAAATCGACGAGAATCTTATGAGGTAGTGTTGTGTGACGTGGTAGCGGCTCCTGTGATCTGAATGAGCGTTGACAGGGTGACCTAAATCGTTATTATTTTTTTATTGTCATTTTAACAATATCTTTGTCTTTGTCTTTAGTATGTTGTGTTATTATCATCGTTATTTGTAGGGATATTATTGTATTTAGTATTGTCATTGTTATTATTGGCATCCTTATCATTGTTGTTATTGTTGCTTGTTATTATCATTATCATTAATATGATTGTAATTCTGTTTCTGTTGTAATCATTATTATTATCATTACTGTTTTTATTATCATTTTTACTTCTACCGTACTAATGATAACAATAATATCAAACATACTGTAATTAACAGCACCATTGCCAATAGGATCATTATCAGCTGTAACCAGTATCAGTGTTGATATTGCTATTCTGAAAAGCATCATTGCCATCATCATTAGTAGCAGTAGTTATAGTGATAGTAGACTTACCCTTCTATAATTACCGTTCTCTTTCTCGGATAACCATTATAACTAGGAAATATGTATCCCTCCTGTTAAATCATCTCCCGGCCTGCCTGTATTGTGGAGATGAGCTCTTGCACATGCATGATGCAGCGCGCCGGGGCAGCATTTCCAGGTCAGCTGTGTGCCTCGATTGGCGAAACACATCAGGATGAGACTGAATGACATTAGGCAGTGATATCATGTCTTACTTCGCGAAATAACGTCCCCCCAAAATGTTTTCTTCTTTTTTCTAAGTTTCCGCAGGTGTAATATATGAAGTTGAAAATAAAACATAGGGTATTAGAACGATGGAATTAAACGTCGATGATCATACAACGTCTTACTTAAAATGGTGGTTGTCAATTCCCCGATGGTAGACATCTACTTGAAAATACTTCCTTGATTTTTTATATAGATTCAAAGATTAAGTCGCATTATTAATCAGTGAATCTTTTACTAAGCAGTGCTTCGCGTATTTCATTCTTGGCAATACAAAGTTTATTTTTCTGATGAATAATCCGTAAACAAAATAAAAGAGAGCGAAGCGCTATTTGCATTGCTAACCGTAGCTCCGTCCGTGCCATCGTTTACCTCGAGCGGAAACCCGGCGGACCTGAGGAGGACCAGGCAGACCGCAGCGTAATGGGAGATCATTACCCTCCCCCTCTCTCGCCGCATGAAGGGCCGTTACCTAGAGTTCCAGCTGTGTCGGAGGCCGTGGACACCGTGCTAGTTGCCTGCCACAGCCGCCCTTACGCCGCAAACACTGCCGCCACTTCTGAAGGGCCCGACGCTCTCACGCACGAGCTCACGCATTCTACTTCCTGCTGCTGTTCCTGGAGGACCCCTCGCGTCGGCGCCGTCTCGCTGGGGACTTAGACACATTCTGGTGAGTTTGCTAGGCCCAACAGAGAGAAGTGCTGATAATGCTAAGCTGATGAAGAAAAGTGATATGATGGGCTGATAAAAAGCTTGAGAATTCGACAGATCTCTACAAAATGTTGTGCTGAAGAATTGAACTGGCATTATGCTCTTTTGGACACATTTCTCCTTTCGTTGCCGAGTTGCTTTCATCGCCATATGATTATCAATTCATGGTGATGGATAGGAGTAAAATATTTTTTTTCTTCTAGAGAGGAATGAATTTTTTTTTTTTTACTTTTTTTCTATTAAATTATTATTCTTCCACACAACTCACCAAATATTTGTTAAATACTACCCATCACCGCCAATAATAATACTGGCGTAACCACACTGCGTGTCATAGTAAAGTCAGCACAGCTATCTCATTCTGTCTCGCAGCCTGACACAAAATAAGCAAGAGAAG